AGCCAATTCAACGTCTCATTCACCGACTCATCACTTTTTCTATCCATCATAGGCGCCATGGAGACAAGGTTACAAAGATTAATTTGTTCTTTTTATGGTCTATTTTGCAGTCGGGAATGTGTTGCAACATCCCGTACTTTCTAGCCCGCTACTTGGCGGATTATGCCATGAGTTCCCGCCCTGGGAGCCCTATTTGTGGAGGCCATTTTATTACCCGTTTGGCCCGGTCCTATGGTGTTATAGTTCCCGACATCACGAGATCCTTGACTTGTATGGAAGGGAATGAATTTACTTTGGGATATTTGGAGACGATGAGGGTGGTAAGGAATTATGGATCACATTGGGGGATTATGAATTCTGATGATGATGGTAATGAGCAACTGAGCGACCAACCCGAGCAACAGCCGTAACCGAGGCCAAGAGGAAGAAGAAATGTGAGACGAAGAGGCGAGAGAGAACAACCGGTGCAACAAAATGTACTATTGGGAGGAGCCCATTTTGGAGGAGACATGTCGGGTTACTTTGATCAGTTGTCGCTAAGTGTGAATTGGATTGGTGGGACGGTGGAGAATTTGGTGCAACACTTGCATGTTGAGCAACCTCCTCATTTGATTTATCATCACCCAATTTGCCCTAGGTGGAGTGAGTATCAAAGTCAAGGAGGAGATGGAGCGGGAACGAGTGGAGCGCAAAGAGATGAAGATGACGATTGATCGCTTTATTTTGTTTAGTTTTTTGTTTTTAGTTGATTTGGTTTTCTTTTGTTTTTGAATTTTGATTTGGTTTGTAAGACTCTTTAAGCTATTATGTTACTTTTCTATTTCTTTTGGTTGTTAATTTCCATATTTGCTAAAGGAGTCACAGGAAGGAAAGTCGAGATGAGAGCGTTTACGTCTAACCAAGCATCGTTTTGAGTTTAGAGTCGAGACCCACAATTTTAAATAAGTGTGGGGTGAGTCACGAGAGATAATAGAGTTATAGAAGAGTCATAAAATGTTGCATTAGAAGGGTCTTATTCAATTAAGACATTTGGTTGAAGACAATAGATAAAGGCAGGATCACTTTCTAACTGCCCAGTTCTCACGTCGTGAATACTTATTATTCACATAGTGAGTCCAGTATTAATGGTTTTTCAGAACACGCTTTTTAGCGACATCACGTCGTGGCATACAACTTCACGTCGTGAATCCATATGTTTCACAAAAATAAAGCCCATTGATGCATTTTACTTCATGGTTCACCACTTTTCTTCTTGGGATTATTATGAAGCTTATTTTGGCTCGTTTTCTCTAACATTCAATGTGGCGTATGCTTTCCCACATTTGTCTTTACGCTTTGGAGATTTGCACCACATTTATTGAAGATTGAAGTTTCGATTCTATGGTTGTTGACACATCTACATAATTCGTGAGTCCCAAGATCCAAGTTCCTATTTAGAAGAAGTCCATATTCGAGATGCACATTTCATCCGCACGATTGGAATTCGATCTCGCCACTACTATCCCAGGGGAGTCTGTTCCTTTTTCTCCATTTTCTTGCTTTTATATTATTTTATGCATACAATGAGGGCATTGTATGTAATAAGTGTGGGGTAGGGGGTCGAAAAAGTTAATTGCTAGAAAATTTAGACAATTTAAAAATTTTAGTAATAAATTTTAAAAGGTTTGAAATACTAATCTAATAATTAATCTAGTAATAATAATTTGAACTTTAGTTACTAGTGTTGCATGGGGTGATCCGATGAGAGCTCAACTGTTTAGTTGAGCCAATATACGTTATAGTGCATTTGTGGCCTCCTTTATTCTAGTGAAATCATGGGATAAAAACACAATCTCGCTTAGTTTGAGGGATGCAACATGTTTAGCAGCCTGTACTTGAAATGTATCCAGGAAAGCTTATGTAGTCATTGCACATAGGCTAATACCTTAACCAATAAGGGTTGAAGTTAAGCGCCCCTGCTTAAGCATGTAGGTTTTGAGTGAAAAAAAGTGAGTACATGTAAAAAAAAGAGAGAGAAATTACCGAAAAGTTGAAGAATTTTTGGAGCAATCAAAGTATAAAGTTTGAAGATCAAAGATCAAAAATTCTGAAAAATCAAAAGTTGAAGATACCAAAAATCACAAAAAAAGATGGTGAATTCAAAGAAATCAAAGATCAAATATCAGAGAAAATGAAGAATTCAAGAACTCCATATTGTGGTATCTAAAAGTTGTAATTTCTAGATTATGTATGCTTGGGTAGCTTTACAAAAATACCTTGATGTTAGAAAGTTTTCTGCGGATGGATTCAGAGGGATGCATAAAATGAGCATTGTTCAAAAGAAGTGGGCGAGTGTTTATGAGGATTGTGAGTATTTAGAATTAAGGGGGGTCCATAGGAAAACTTTAGACACAAATGCATGCGTTGAGGTCTTGGCATAATGGCTGAGTTTGAAATGGATTGTTCTATGTGATGTTGGTGATGAAGGTTTAAATTAAAAATAATTAGATTTGCTTGAGGGCAAGCAAATAATAAGTGTGGGGTATTTTGATATGGTCATATTTATACATGTTTTTAGGCAATATTTACTTATATTTTGGTTATTTGCATTGAATAATGGTACTTATGAGGATAAATTGTTCTTTGCAGCCAAATAGAAGCATTTTTGGAGAAAAGGACTAAAAATGACAAAACATGGAACTTTGGAGGCTTGGAGAATAAAAGAAGAAAGAAGCTTACGTAATCTACTATTCACGTCGTGAGGCTTATAGATTCACTACGTGAACACGAATCTTCCAGAAGATAAACATCGCGAAGAAGAGTCCTTAGCCAACACAGAAATCTACTATTCACGTCGTGAGACTTATCTATTCACGACGTGAGTTCGGAAAAATCAGAAACTATATATACTCTTGCTCATTACGACTTGAGGGACTTTTGGCTGATTGAAAGAGTTCCTGGAGACGAATTGCAGAAGAAGAAGTGGTTTGGAATTGGTTTTCAACACCAAAGGAGAAGAAGAGTTCATATTAGCTTAATAATTTGGTACACTTTAATCATGTCTTTGAATATGAGTTATTTGTGTTTGTTAGCTAGTATGTCCAGCTAAATCTAGCTGCTTCTGTTAGCTAGATGTAGCTGGAACTCATGGTGTAATACTTTAGATTTGACTTTACTTGTTGGTTATGACTTGTGTTTGATTGATTGAACCTAGCATATTTGATTTGATATTTGATTGCTTTAAATTCTTGTTCTGTGTAGTTAGTGAATATGAATCTGCATGAATTTGAAATCCTAATAATTCAGTGAGGACTAGGTTATTAGAGCTAAGATCAAACCAATCTTAGATAAGCAATTGAGTTATTAAAATTAGGCTCTGCTAGAGAACTCATATTATGATCATAATTGTGTTTTGTTAATCAATCTTACATAGCTCCAATCCATTAAATAATTGATTATGTGTTAACTTAAGTGTGAACATACTTTGATTTACATGAATTAATTAATGTTAGTAGATTTAGAACTAAATTGCTAATACTATCTTAATTGGTAACCAACAGTAATTGTCATAGCTAATCTATAAACCATTGAGGGAAAGCAGATTCGAACTAACAGAAGTGTTTTGTTTACTGATTGAATTTGTGTTAAAGAATTAAGTTCATCTAAACTTGCAAAATTAGATAAATCCCCTTCCTTTGTTAGTAATTAGGTTAATTTAGTAGTAGATAGATTAATTAGTCAAAACTGTTCCCTGTGATCGACACCTGACTTACCCGACTATTCTATAATTTGACTAGGTACACTGCCTAGGTGCAATTTAGTTAGTTAACTTAGTTAGGTTATAAATATAAAATAAGGTGTAGCTATTTGCAAGCATCAATAACCACTCATTCTCTTCTTTTGTTTTCTCTCATTTCCGAGTCTTATCCAATTGAGGATTTCGAGAGTACCACCGAAATGCTTTAATTTGAAAGTGAATACATGATTCGTAGAATTCCAAGTGATTTTACATCCCAAATTTCTAACAATCTCAACTTTATTCATGAAGGAACTAGAACACAATATGTTTTTGCATCCTACTGGCGTTTATTGATTATTCGTAAGCTTAAAGCTTAATCGGCCACTTTTTGGTTGAAACTCGTGTCCATGCAAACAACAACCTACAAAGAAAAGTCAATCTTGTTAATGATATACATGCACGATTTCTATCAAGTTTGATTGTATTGTATGTGCATACTTTTCCAATGCTTTTTCCAGAATGGATATATTCAACTGCATCAACAACAGATTGCACACCCACAAAGCTCTTAGGGTCTATTCCAACCTGATATGATTGCAAAGAAAGAGTAGCATGTGAACTCTATTAGAAAGAATTATCCCAAAGATGCTAATAAAGTTATAATATATATGATGATACCTTTAGCTTTCCCATAGAGAAAAGATGAACCATATTATCTAGATGTCTTTTCCATACGTGCTGATAATGGCCTAGGTTGAATCCAATATGCAAGTTTCTCAAATTTTTACCATGAAAAAGCAAAAAAAAAAAAAAAACATATGCACTCAAAATTTTCCGATTAAAATTGAAACAATTTGCTACTTCTGAGTAAAATACCAATTTGACTAATAATATTGCTCTAGTTTACCAAGATGTTATGTATCCATAAACTTATTCGGTTTTTTTGTTTTCCTTTAAGGGTACTTTGGCTATTTGGCAACTAATCGAACACATCCCTTAAAATGTTAAAATATGGTTCATTTAGACATTTCATTTTCATGGGATGGATGTAAAACTTGAAACCATTACATACCACAGTCTTGCTCTGTTGGTGAAGTATATCACATATTCCTGAATAGTTTCTTGGTTCATGTCCGATCCCTTCTTTATACTGAAACTAAAATAGGAAAGATACGTGTGATAAGGGAGAACTATATAGAATTATATAAAATCAAATAAAAAGAACATAAATACTACAATTTATTAAGTCAATTACCTGAGAGGTCGTTCCAATGACAAGCATTCACCCGAAAGTTGCTAACGCATCGAAGCATGAATCAAACATGTCACCACCAACAGATTCGTAAACAATATCAACCCCTTTTGGGAATTCATTCTTAAGAACCTGACAATTTAATTTGTATATATAATTATATACCATAACGAACATTGTTTAATACTTAAATCGACTTTAGATGATGGAAATTAAGGTACATACATCTTTTACAGATTCATCTTTGTAGTTGATGACTCGATCAACTCCCAAATCCCTTAGAAATATAGCCTTATCCTTGCCTCCACAGGTTGCAACTACTTTGTTTCCAGCTAATTTTGCCAGCTAATATTATCCCATAAAATCGGTCATGATTAATTCATCACATACAATTAGATGAGATTATTAAAAAGCTTTAGATAATTACTTGAACTGCAAATTGTCCGGTTCCTCCTGCAGCAGCAGTGACAAGAACTGTCTCTCCAGACTCCATGTGTGATGCCTGTAGGAAAAAGGTAACGTGCAAATGAAGTCTCAATAAAAAAATATGCATATTACATTTTAATTAAAAATTAAAATATAAACAAACCTCTAGAGCAATGGATGCAGTAAGTCCAGAAGCAAGCATGGCAACAACTTCAAGGTAGGGTGATTCAACAGGAATAATGAGTTCTGAGGGTACCTAATAATATATCATGGTAATTAAAATCAGATAAGAAATTGATCCTACCCCTTGTAATTTTGCATTTGAGTTAATAGTTTATCTAAAATACTCGAATGTAAACAGATAAAAAAAGAAAATAATTCAATATAATCATGTACCATGGTAAATTCAGAATAAGCTCCCATATTAAGTATTGCTGCTGGAGTGCCGACTTTTAGATTTTTAACCTCATCACCCACTAAAGCAATTAACCCTACAACCTTTATTTTGTAAATGGTCAAAACCATGAACCAAATTTCCAAAATTTTTAAAACAAATCCTCGAATCCAGAAATTTAACTCGAATTCTAAAAAGTATTACATTATCAATGTTGTTAGTATGTGTTTTTATACCTCAAGTCCAGGATAAAATGGAAGTTTAGAGCTGATTTCTTCTTTGGTTCCACTCAAGTAACCATTATTACTATATTCCACCTGTCATGCTAGAAAACATTACATTGGGAAAAGAAGACGAACAATGTAAATTGATGTTCAAGAATCATGCCTTTTTTTTGCATCTTGTTTAAACAATATGAGAAAAATTAAATACAAAAATGATTGCGGGTTGAATATAATTGTTGAGGCCAACAAATTAATAGGTTGAAGATGCTATTAAAAGGAATAAATTAAACATGAGCAATTAAAAAAGGTTTTTTGGCTTAATGGTATCAGAAGTGTCCATCCGCAAGTTCTTAAGACCAAGTTCAAGTCTCGTGACAAATAAAAAACAGATTGCATGAGTGTGTGATTTAGTTGTTCAATAAAGAAAATAATTACTATGTGATTTATTGTTTTTAATATATTGCAACCAAAAAACTTACATCGCCTGCATTGACTCCAGCATATATGATTTTTAAGAGAACATGATCTGGTTTAATCGGCAATTTCAATGGTGCGCGCACTGTACGTGTAGCATTCCGAAAATTTCTAGTAAGGGTGTGAATAATTCTGCATCACAAGTGTCAAATGGAAAAATTCGTAATCAAAATCTTACAAATATTGAAAATGATGAAGAATATATATATATATACTGACAGTTGCTCAAAGGTATGAGGGATCTCGATGGTAGAATTAACAACTGATGAAACTGTCTTCTTCAAACTTGATGGGATCACTGTCAAGGTTTTTGCTTCTTGAGATGAAGTTGGCATGTATTCAAGGCCTCCATTTTTTGTGATAAGTAAACAAGAGCCAGCTTTACTTTCATCAGTAATAAGCTGAAAGGCACCTGATTCATCGATGACAACTCAAACAACTAATTAATTTCCTAATTTAAAGAATCAGTTTCCCTCTATTTCTCTCCTCTGATGAAGTAATAGAACATAGTACCTTGTATGATTGTATCCATGGAAGTAGAGCTTCCATTGAGGTTAAGAAACTGAAAACCCACATGTTTAGCCTTCTCAGCTCGATTAATCTGCATATATATATATATATATATATATATATATATATATATATATATATATATATATATATATATATATAATAGTATTAGTAGAAGTTTAACCGGATAAATCCAAAATTAATGGATTGCATAAATATGAGTGAATTAGTTTTTTGATTTAGTCAAACACTTATTATTTGCTAAACATAACGGAAATTTTCATGTTTTCTTATTTAAAGCAAGCTTTTACTTTTTATTCTTTTCTCTATCTTTCTCTGTTCGGCAGAAATACCACACAATAAAATTTCTTTCTTTATCTCCTAATTATAGTCATCATGAATTAATTTGCATAGACTTTTTTAAATTTAATCCAACAATATTTCAAAATAAAGAACCATATGATTGCAAACCCTAGGCAAGTCGCATGAAATAACTTATTAAGTATAAAATTTATGGTTTTGTAAGAGATTTTAATCATTTTATCATCTTTAACGTGAAAATAAAGTCTTAAATAAGGAGTTTGGTGTAACCATTGGGCAAAGCACATTGACACGGATGCCTTTTTCCTTGTAAGAAGAAAGTGATCTTGTAAAGATAACCACACCCCATTTAGAAAAAAGAAACAAAACAAAACAAAAAATAAACATGAGAAAA